TGCATTCAGCACATCAGAAACAGGCTTCTCAATTGTAAGGTCATGGAAAAGCATCTTTCCGAGGAGAGGTTGGAAGCACTGCCCTGAGCAATGCTGCTGAGTGATGTCCGTCAATCCAGTTTCGTTTGGAGTTGGGCTTTGCTTTTTCTCCATCCTGTATGAACCTCTGGATTATGTGTCTGGCACAAGTAGTAGGTCCCCACCCTGAATTCAGCATCAGGTTTGAGGTACCCAGACACTGAAAGAGAAGGTGGTTTTCCTCTAATCAAAGCAAAGTTGTTCCCTAGTGATTCGAAAGATGTGGGGAGCCGTGGGGAGAGTGGGGCTTGCTAAGAAGCCACTACACCAAGGCCTCCTTATGGCAGGCTTTCTTTATAGGAAGTTGAGCTGCTTAAAACTCAGAGAGAGGAAACTTATTTTGACTAGGAACCCACTTGATGCATTTCTGCCCCCTAGGGCAGAAGGGGCTTGCATGGATGGCTTGCAGAAACAGTCATGGCAGGATATGGGTTTGTAGAGCGCCAGTTCTGCCTGTGAAACCAAAATCAATTCCTGTTCCTGCCAGAGAGGCAAACTGATGGGGTTGAAAAAGCTGCCATCTCCCACCTTTGGCTGTTGAAAGCTTGTTGCTTCTGAACAACTGGATGAGGTTGGTGTCTGGAAATGGCTTTGCTGGAGGTGGTTGTATCTCCTGTCTCTATCTCTGTTCCTCTCCAGGCCCCTGTTAAGTGTCAGCAGCAGTGTGCTGAGATGTGGAGGTGGCAGAGCTGGGCAACAAAATGCCTCTTAGTTCATCAGCAGTTTGAAGTAGCCCAAGAGGTTGCTGGGGGACAGCAGAGGAAGTCCGGGCGCACCACGGTGTTCGGAATTAGGCAAATCCCTGAAACGAGCGGGGTGGCCGTCGGGCGGGGAGGAGGAGGTGGTGTGGTGGCGGATACTGCTGGTGGCTGTTGAGGGCTGAGCTGATCTGGAGGTGCTGCCTGTCTGCTCAGCGTCATGACCTTGCCCGTATCCCTTAGCCATTCTGCTGCGGGCACTGCTTTCACCCGGGCTCTTTCAGTTACTGCGCTATGGAGATTCATGTGTGTCCTCGGCGCGAGGATTTAGGCTGTGGTAACTGTTCAAACTGCTCTATTCAAACCACTGTAAACTGAGAGTAACATGGATAGATGCTGCGTCTTGACACTTCTGTGCAACCAGACAGAAAATGAAGCTGGCTGCTGGGAATTAGAATGTAACGCTAATAGATTCCTCCTCATTCGGAGCATTGTTTGGGTAGTTTGTATCAATTTAATACTGTTTAGGCTAAAGAAATTATGGACGGCGTGTTCTCGAGGCTTATCTTTCACTACACAGCGGCAAGAACGTTGTCAGTGGGAACGATGTGTCGTTCACGGGTTCTGTGTTTACACCGATAAGGGAAATCTGGCTCGCCACCGTGGCTTGGAGAGCTAGCACAAGGTATTATCTACAGCTGTGGCCATATAGTTTTAAATATTGGTTGAAATTATAAGGATTGCATTTTGATTTATTTTGAACTAGTTAGTGGACTGCAGTTAAAAGCTCATACAAATATGCTATTATCCATCCAGCAAATTTAAAACGCATGCAGTGTTTAAAAAAGTGCTGTGCTTTATTTTTAATACCCACGTTCCTGGCTTTGACCAGTTGGCTGTGATCTCTTGGCTTCCCTTGGCAGCGTTGGGACGTTCGATAAAGCAAAGCTTCCTGCACACAGGCAGCTCCCCCTGTCTTCTCCGGAACTAAACGTTAGGGTAATTCTAAACACTAAATAAAGTTCCTGTGGGAAGTTTAGCCCTTAGGCTATCAAATATTCAAATACACATTGTTTTCCTAAAGTACTACCTTTTAATGTTGCAAATTTTTATTTTATTTTATTTTTTTTTTTTTTTAGTGTGGCATAATTGATACTGTTTGGTGCTAAACTGTTGGATGCCATTAGCTCTGTCTGTGTACAAGAAGCAAGTGGTTTTGGTTGCTCGTCTGCTTCTCTACTTTCCAGTTTAAGTACTCTCCAGATCTCGGTGCTGTTTTTCTGTGTGCAGTAGTGCTCTCTGCTGTCTGACAGTTACCACTGCAACAGGGAATTCCACCTGCTGTAGTTGAGTCTTTGCCACTCCTCTGCCAGCTCAAGGTTTTTGGGTGCTCTACTGGCCCTTAGTAGGTCTAACTTAATGGAAAGGGACGGAATAAATGCTTTGCGTTCCGACGAGTTCCTGCCTCATGCCACGTCTCTCCGCGGGTGGTGGGACGGTGTTTGCTCTGCCCTAGGGCTGGGTGCGAGGCCAGGCTGGGCCCCCGGGGGCCACCCAGCACCCAGGTGGGCGTCCCAGGGACAGGGGGACCCTCCGAGACAGCGTGGGTTTGGACTGAGGTCTGGAGGATGGCAGCTTTAATTTCCCCACAGTTATAAATAAACAGTTAGGAGTAAGTAAACACATTCCTTAGACTTTGAGGTGGTTTGTGGATGGTGTGGAAACAGGATTTTAACTGCAAAAGCAGTAGCTTTTGTGCACCTAAAGCATTCTATTTTCGTAACAACCTGTGCTTGCAGGCTGCACTGACAGTTGGCTTGTCCTTGGGAGGTGGGAGGTTTGCAAGGACTAAAGCTGACTTCTGAAATTATTCCTGTGGGTGAGGGGCAGGGAGCATGGGCTGTAATGGGGTATATTGGGGTATACTGGGGTTTTCCCTGACGAAGCCCGGCCTGGGAACAGCAGCAGTTGTACCTGGGGTCTGGGGACTGTGTGTGTGGAAATCGCTCCTTTTCTCCATCCCTGAAGGCTGGGGAGCTATGTGGGCATTCACAACAGCGCTCTCTATGCTGGCACAAAGTCCTCTTGGCTTACAACAAGGGTTTTTTTCCCAGACACTTAATATTTGATCCTGTCTCATCACAGGATTAAGCAGGGACAAAGGAAGTTAATCAGCTCTAAAGCAGCACTTGAAATCCAGAGTAAGAACCTGTCTCTAGTTTTCACGAAAGCAGAGAACCAAGGATCAGCAAAATCATAAAGCAGTCAGAGCAGAGGACAAGGGTGTTAAATGAGAAAGCTGCGGAGGGGCACAGAATAAAGCGCCCCTCGGAGCACACGCTTGTCCTGCGTGAGCAGCCGCGGTGCCGGCGCGAGCGTGTCCATCCCCCGGCCCCGGCACTTCCCCTGGCGCCCTGATGGAGAAGGAGACGGGATCTCCAGGGCTTGGGTGGCTGGAGGGTGCGCAGAAGGCAGCTGTTGAACATTGCATGGTGGGATAAAAAGGGGACCTGTGATGGGCTGCCTGAACTGGAAGGACCATGGATTTCATTTTCTGTGTCGGCCTGAGAAAATGTTTGGAGTTTCTGCTTGTATCTTTCTGTTGGCCGTGTGTTCTTATAAACAACCAAGCCTCAGATGAGAATTCCTTTTCTCCGAAGGACTGTCTGTGCTGCTGGCAGTAGAGCACGGAAGGTCTTTGCAAAGCGGGATCCAAAGAACTCTCAGTTAAAATTTTCTTTTTGCTTTCTCTACCCTTCCAGTTGAATGCTAGTAAGGACATTGGCCTTGAGGTGAGAGGTTGTGCCCTTCCCGAAGTAAAACATCACATGGCACTGATGAATCCAGTCGCTTCAGGTGTTTACACAGAAGTCATTATTTTCCGTGCACTTGTTGTTAAAAGATCCAGAGAGAAACAAGCAGGGGTTGAGGTTTCGTTATACTCTTGAATTATTTTGAGGTACTTCCACATCATGTCTGAGCTTAACGGTGTCTTGAAATTCTGTTATCTTCCAAACGTGTGAAAGCTCAGGATCTTCCCCACCCAGAAGTGGGGAAGTAGAACTAGAGCGCATGTTTTCTGGAGTTTGTAAATTCTTGGCATGCAGTGCCTTTGCTCTTTGTGGAAAGAGAACTTATTTGAAATGGGACAGACTTCTCAAACACTTTTTAATTTTAACAATTTTTTCAACTTTACGCTGTTGAAAAATATAAGCACCATAAATCTTTCTAGAAACTGTGGGAAAAGTAATTGTAATGGCCTTCACTGAAATTGCTATATTTGGTTTTCTGTGGCTTTCCATCAAAAGTATAAATGAAAGAAATTGTGATTCCTCCGTCTGCAACACGTAGCCACTTGGTGGCACTATTGTTCCTTATTATACCAGACTTCTAACTGCATTTCCTAATAAAAACTATTTAAACTTTTGGGGTCTCTTGGAAACAGCTTCTACACATGAATGAAAATAGGAACAAGTAGGATTTTTTTTGTTTTAATGACTACAATATTATGGAGATTTATCATAATGGACCAGCTTCTCTGGGTCATGGGTTTTCATCTTTCTTTAAAGTGGAAAATGTGTAAAACACAGGGAAATGTCTCTGAACCCATTTTCAAGTATTCACACACTCTGAGTCAATGGGTAGAATACTAATACAGGAAAAGTGTTTTGTATGGAAATGCTCCATCATGAGTTAAAGGTTAAGGATTCATTTTTATACTCGATAAGAATGAATGCATAATTGCTATCTGCTAGTTCAGAAAAAAGAGTGATGGATTAATAACTACAAGACCAAAAGGCATGACAGGGAAGACAGATGGCATGATTGGTTTAAAAAAAAATAAATTCCCTAGGACATCTACCATTCATATTCCTTTTTTCCTTCTCGACACTTCTCGTGTTTCCTTTTTTCATTGTGTGTACTGAATGAGGGCGGCTCATCAGCACAGCATAACCGTATATTCTGCATGCATAAATCAGTTCTAGCTGGCAGCCCCAGGCAGCAGCTTCCAGGTGATGGTGCCTGGATCGCCCCGGTTCGTGCTGGAAGTTGTCTGCGAACTATAATTAGCAGAATTTTTGAGTAATGATATTCAGCCAGTTGTGAAGACGTTTTCTCTTACGGAGATGGTAAAATGAAGATTACCATAATATCCTGAAATGCTGTCTTGAGAAGTTGCACCTCAAAGCATAAGCCTTCCCAATGTAGATCCGAAATTAAAGCAATAATAAAAGTACTGAGCATCATTACACTGATAACATTGTCTTTCTCTGACATCTCCACCTCAAATCATCTATGTTTTTACCTTCCAGCTCATAATGTGGAAGTAAGTGCTTCTGGCTCATGCCGCTGAGCGCAGTCCCAGCCAGGGTCCAGGCCGGAGCCTTTGGGGCAGAGGGAGTTGCACCAGGTAGGTCAGACTCCCGGTGCCGGTGCCCTGCTTCCTGGGCTTGGCCTCTCTTTTAATTGCATGAAAAATTAGTAAGTTTTGAATTAAACCTGGAAAAATGAATATAAAAACAACCCCGTGTCCCCAACGGCATTTAAAAAAAAATTTTTTTTTTTTTTTTTTTTTTTTTTTTGGTGAGAAACCATTATTTTAATATTTGGCAGAAGTAATTTCAGGGAGTCTGTAAATCTGGAACTCTGTATTTCCTCTAATCCTACAGTGCATTAGATGGTGCAGCTGATTTAGAGTTTAGGGAAAAAGAAATCTCAACGGTTGCCGTTAGATTTCTGGAGTATCTCCAGAGTAATGCAGATACACTTGATGTTGCTATATGCAACAATTCAGTGTTTTATTTCTTCAAAGCTTTTTTTTTTTTTTTTTTCTTTTGTGAAAACTGAGTTATTGTCCTGCTTTTTAAATGCAGGCTCCCTCAAAGTTGGCTCCTCTGTATTACGACGCAGCCCAAGGACGCAGGTGACAGAGCTTTACGCTTTGTCTTTCCAGACTCTCCACAGCTGCGAGGGCTTGGGAGGGTCCAGTAAATCCTCTGCGTAGCCCTTGAATGCTGCCTGCGAGCGTTCCCGGTGTTCGGGAGCCCAGCCTGGCCTGGCCGGGTGTCTGTCTGGAGGGGGTTGGCTGGGTGGTCTTAGGAGTTCCCAGCAGCAGTTCCCCTTGTAGAGCAATTTCTTCTTAAATTCAATATATTGATAAGTTAAAGCATCATTTCAAGATGCTTTAAAATGTTGCATCTACCTCTAGTAACTGGTGTCATGGATAATACACCACGACTGAAATGGTTTTGTCACAAAGGCTGTATCTTCCTGCCATGATTTCTTTTCTCTCTTGTCTCATGCCCAGAAATCTGCTTAATAGCATTTGGCTGTGGACAGTTTGCAGTCTGAGAGGGGGCTGAGGGTGAGACGGTGAATTTTTTTAAAATGCTGCATACATTTAACTTTGTAGCTGAATAGAAACAGAATTCCTAAATATTCAATTTTAGAATTAAATCACTTGGAGACTGGCAGTTGCTTATGTGTGGCAGCTGTGATGGGGCACAGCACGTACCTCTGCAAACTGCTTGCACAGGAGGCACAGCGGTTTTGCTTGGTTTTACCCCCAAAATGGGAGGGAGGAGGCCTCCCGGGGGCAGTGGGACTCCGTGGCCAGCCCGTGCAGGTGACCGTGTGGGAGCTGGCTGGCCCGGCGGCGGTTGCCGTCTCTCTGGCGATGTCTTTGGTAGCACCCGCCTTGGGTCTGGTGGTCGCAGCTGTGCCGGGATGTCACAGGGCTCCCAGCAGGCCCAGACGCTGCCTGGCGGGGCTGAGCAGAGGGGACGGGGGTCCCAGCATCCCGCGGCTCTGGCAGAGCTGCAGGTGCTTCACCCCCGGGAGGAAGCTCTGCGGTTCGCGTTCCGTCGGCTCTCGGGCGTGCGAAGGGAAAGGGCGGTTCAGAGTGCAGACGGGCATGGTGACGAACCGGGTGGGAATCAGCGGTGCAGAGCACCGAGGGATTGTCCTTTTGGGCTGGGGAGGTCCCGTGAGGCCGGTGACGCGCCGCCTGGCCCCGATGGTACAGCGGCAGCTTCACGGGTTCCGTTTGCCCAGGGAGGGCGGCCGCCACACGGCTGCGCAGTGTCCCTTGCGCGCGGGGCACAGGCCACGGCCTGCCCTTGCACATAGAGGGATTTTCAGAGTTTTGCACTCTCCTTCCTCCTCTGCGGCCTTTCTGTGTGAGACTGGGCAGGGGAGGACGCTGGCTGTGAGCAGCTGGGAACAAAGGTTTTGTAGCCAGACACTGGTCTCCTGGGTTACTAAGCCACCAAGACTTAAAATGCTTCACAAACAATGCTCTTGTTAAATATATTGGAGTATGAATTCAATTAAACTAGGTAATAGTTTATGAATAATTATGGCAGCAGGCATCCTCCAATATTTAATGTAGGGAGCAGAACAGGATACGCATCACTGAACCCTTACGGATAATTTTTCAGACCTCCAGCATTAAATTTTTGCCGCTTCTCGGCGAAGCCAAGTCTGTCTGTGCAGCTCAGTAGGGTTTCCTTCGTGTAGAGGAGAGTTTGCAAGGCCTTTGCGTGGCGCTGGCGATGAAGATGCCTGAGGTTTGCGAGGGGGATCCCTTGGATGCGAGGCCTGTGCAAGCAGTGGAAGGCAAGAAGCCAGGCCCTGCCCTCCATGGCACGGTCTGTGTCCCGGGGCAGCTCTCGGTCCCTCCGTGCGAGGACGGGATCTGGAGAGAGCACGCGGTGCCCCGGGGGAGGAGCGCTGGGCCCCGGCTTTAGCCAGGCTCCCGGCTCGGGCCCGCAGGGGGTTGGCAGCACCCGGTGCTCCGTGGTGTGCTCGGAGGCTCGGGCAGGCCCCGGCACCGCTCTGCCGGCAGCGCCGCCGCCACGGCCCGCGCCAGCTCTGCGGGAGGGTTGTTGGGCACCCGCCAGCCGCTTCGGAGGAACCGTTTCCACATCTCGTCAGAAAGGCACCTCTTGTCTTGGCCCCTAGGCTACCTCCCGCCCCTTCCCTTTGACTCGAAGGATTTTTCAGCAACAGAGAATTAGGCAGCTATAGTTAGAAAAAGAGTTAATCCATTGATTTTCATGTCTGTTCTGTTGATGCATCTTTCTTGCCTAAAACCTGATTATAATACAGTAACTGGATGAATCCCGCAGCGTTCTGTGTCCGGGATGACTGATGTTGTCTCATTTTGAGTCTTGCTAACACAGTGTCCCACAACAGAGGTTGATGAAAGCAGAGATACTTTATTATCTGCATACTGCAATGATATTGGTTTAAGTGATCATCACTGCATTTAATCTTAGGTTTAAAGCGTCGTGGTTAAGATCAGAGCATGTTCCTGTGCTTGGCTGTGGAGATTAATGCTCGGGACATTGGTGAGCTGCAGAATGGCCATCGGCTCAGTGAAACAGTGCTTTCTGCTTTAGTAGCCAATTTTCAATAACATTTTAGAAAGCTGAAAACATTAGAAATTGAGTGAAGTGAAAACAACAACAGTTTTTGAACTACTTCTGATACATACAGGTTTGCTGCTAGTACGGTTGGTTAGGTGGTACCTATGGATATTGATGAACACTGCTGTTAACAAACTGAACTTTGTCAGGCAGTTAATTAAAAATAGCAATAGCATTAACTGAGACACCTCCAGTAGCTTTTACTCTAGGGAAGATCCAGTCCCGGTGTAATTATACCTAAAAAGAGGAGAGTTCTGTAAATTGCAAACGTTTGATAAATTGATGCACAAAAAAATCAGTAAAATTTGCCAACAAACTTATAAATGAGCCTGTGTGTCCATATAGTACTGGAATTACTTGTGAAGGGCAGTGGAGACAACGTACAGGCTGTGTCGTCTGACGAGGCAAACTGAGATTAAATGATAATCAAATTAACCCCAAATGCCCCAGAATAATGACTCCAAATAGCACAATGAAGTTAAAGAACTGGAAAATTAATCAAGGCCAAGAAAAAAGTAAAGTCACGAGAAGGGGGTAGGGGAGAAAGGTAGATGCTAATAAAAAGGTGAGCAAAAGTCTTGTGGGACTGTATGGAGTGTTTACTGAGCTGGACAGCATCATCCTGGAGGGTTTTGCGAAGATAAAAACTGCTCTGTGGTCCCTGTCCCTGTGAGGAAAGCTGCTGGGGGTCTGTGTGACCGGCTTGCCCCGGCCGAGCGGCCCCAGCCCGCAGGGTTGGCACTGCCACCCCCACGTCTGCATGGCAGCTCCCGGCAAAGCTGCTGGGAAGTGACTTCTCTGTAACGTTACGTGTGGGGCTGATTGCAGCCAAGTTAACGTGATCCTTCCCTTTGATTTTAGGAAGTGAACGGCAGAACCCAAACTTCCAGCAGCCCGCCCGGCCCTCTGCATTCAGAAAAGCACGGACTGAGCTGACGTTGTGAAACAAGGTACGTGGGCTAAGCCTGAATTGCTCCAGGACTAAGCCTGAATTGCTCCAGGACTAAGCCTGAATTGCTCCGGGACTAAGCCTTCACCGAGGGGGGATTACACAGGTAAGCAAATCTGGATTTCTGTCGGTGGAAGATGTTAAAAGGGCGTTGGGTGGGAAGAGCAAAGGCAGACCTGGGACAGTCTGGAACACAACTGCTGCCTGCCAGGGCTTTGGAGGGGCTGACTTGGAGGGGTTGAGCATAACGTGGTTGAAGTCTCAGGTGACTTGGTTTCCCCTGGCAGTGCTGAAGTTCCTCCTGACTTCAGAGGAGCGCACACGCCTGGCTGGTGGGGCCACCTGAGCCTTGGGTGTGGGGCAGGGGCTGTGCCACCCCCCGACAGTGGCAGAATCACCTTGGACCCCTGTTAAAATAAAACTCCCAAGCCCACATGGCCCCCTTCAGAAATCATATTTTTAAATTCCATTCCTCTGTTCTTTTACCAAGAAAAAACCCCAAACCAATCCACCCTGAGCCCTTGGATGTTTTCTCTGAGAGGTATCAGAGCAAATCCCAGATCCAGCGGTGGCATTACTTGTTTTTAGATGAGAGAAGTATTTTCAATTGTAAAATGATGTTTGTGGAAGAATTTCAGTTGGGTGCTGAGGAATATAGGAGGTCTTGAGGGGACTGAGATTGCAAAACTTATTTTATGGCACATGAGAGAGCTTGAGCTTAGCCAGGACAGTGACAGAGAATTATCCATGCAAGGAATATTCCCAGCGTATGGGGGGTTTCCTCGTGTGGTCTGGTCACCACACCTGCCCGGGAGCTGGAGGCAGCCTGAAGTGTACGGACTCGGGGATTGCCCGGGCTGAGCTTGTTAACGCACCATAAATACAATTTTTTTATAAACTCATGCTTCGCCTTTATAATTGAATTTTACAATCAATACGTGTCTGCAGGCAGCAGGCTGGTGCGCCTGGCGATGCACGGTTATTTTATGTGAAGAGATTTGTTTTCCTTCGGCTGGCTCTTGCAGTGCTGAGCAGTTGGAGGTCTTTGGCTGTGATCAAGACCGGGAGGATTTATTTGACTGCTCTCAACAGAGCGGGTGCTTGTGGCTCTCCAGGTGCTGCTGTCGCATCGGCAGCAGTGGCGGAGTGCTGGGGCCAGGGCTCTGCACCAGAAGAATGATCACCAGAGCCCGGGCAGGCTTGGGCTCTCCTTTAGCGTCCCATCTTCGTGTGCTGTACGAGCTTTTCCTAATTCCCCTTCCCGCTGGTGAGGTGAGTTGGGTGTACAGCCCCGGTTTCTGGGGCCGGAGGATGTTTAGATGAGTTGCCCGAGGACAGGATAAGTGGCAGAGCAGAGGGCAGTCACTGATTTCATCTCCTGGAGCCTGTCACTGGAGGAAATCTTGCTTCTGTGTGTCTGCATCAGTAGCTGTGGGCAGCCCCATGTTAATCTCACTTAAACTGCGTCAGTTTAGCGTTTTGCTTCCAAGCTGGCTGGAGTAAATTGGGTACTCACTCCCGTAATTAACTATTGAATGGGAAGTGTCTGATCTGCAGAGATACAGGGGACTTGTTGCTCCTGGAGAAACTGGACTGAATGATGAGTTTAGCATTGGGCTTATTCTTAATTCAGACAGGCCATGCGCTGGTGATTGACCCTTCAACACTAAATATTGACCGTATGAATCAATTTGCTGTGAGCATCCTGTCCCGTTTGTCTGGCCAGCTCCGAGGGGCTGCAGAGCCTTCCTGGCACGGCGTGTACAGGACCCTTCAGGGAAGCTCCATCGGCGGTACGACTCGAAGTGAGGGTCTCGTTGCAGGAGTAGCTCAGCAGCCGCCTGCTGATATCCCCTCTCCCTGTTCACCATCTCCCTCGTTACACGGCTCCTTCGTTTCCTCCAGCTCCCCAGCAATGTCCTTGGTCGGACAGGCCCAACGGTTGGTGTGAGCAGGGCTGGCGGGGCATTTGCTCAGGAGGGAGTTTGCTTTTTGCTGAGAAAAAACCGGGCTGTTGGTGTTAAACTCAGCTGTGAGAGCCCTGGGCTGGTCTGTGGATGCGCCCGTCGTGCAGGGCCCCGCGGGTCAGGCACGGCGTCGCCGGGTTGCGGAAACTGCTGTAAACCTGGAGCTGCAGTTTATTGTGTTTGGGGAGAACTAGTTTCTAATAAACGGAAGGCAGCAGGGCAATAACGCGGCTGTTCCATGGGGTGTGAACGCCTGGTCGCCGTGGCCGAGGCAGCTGCCGGGCATCCCCGGCTCCGGGCGTTGGTACCCGCAGCCGCCGGGCGATGGAAATCTGCTTCCCCCCGCCAGCTGCAGTGTCAAAAAGGTATTTGTCAGATTTTTAATAAAAGAACAAAGACTGTTCTCAATTTGTTAACTGCCTGATGATCTAGGGTAGATTGCTATTTAAAAATCTCTGCTCCAGTTACCAGCTTCCTGGCAGTAGCTCTATGTTTGTAAAATTTGTTCATCACGCTGCAAAAAATAATAATAAGAACAATCCAATCGAGGAAAAAGACATTTCCTTAAATTATTTTTTTAATTAGTAACTTACAAACATTTCATATTAAAAAGTAAGAATTTAAAATTCAACAAACTGGTTTTAGCTTTTTAGAGTGAACTGATCAGGGAGTGATGCATCCCTCCCATGCATCTGTAATGAAATATTAATTGGATAAAAGCTTTAATATAGATTTTTAAAGCGGGTTTTTTCCTTCCAGTTTAACATATTAGAACTGGGAAGAGTTCTCATCTAGCTCTTTAAGACCAGATGAGAACCTGATTTTCTGCCACTGTAGCTGTTTTCTGCCGGTTCTTCAGTCTTTATTTACAGGGGGAATTAAGAAAGAATTAGGAACAGAACAGGAGAGGAAATGCAAAAGACAAATCAGAGGAGAGAGCGAGAGGTTGGGTGTCATAAAGCAGAGGTATCAGATGAAGAAAATGAACTTGGGAAGACTTTGTACCCTCTGTTCTAGACAGAAAAATGCATAAATTCACTCGTGACTTGTTTTTTAGTACAGAAACACATGAGAATCAGCCTTTTGGTTCGTGTACATCTACAGTTTTAACCCTGGCTTTACCACTTAAGCTCTTCTTTATCACTTAAGGTATAAAGCATTAAGCAGTACTGGCAATGAGTTAGCGGATCCCAGGCCGGCATATTATATTAGTGTTTTCTTAAAGGTGTAGGAGCTAATTGGGAAGAAACATTGATTCTAATAGAAGAGTTTTCTGGAAGGGATCTGTGCTTGGGGAGGAACAGCAGGGAGAGCTGCTCGGCAGCCGAGCCGGGGGTTTGCGGGTGTCTGGCATACCGGCAGCCCCGCGCAGAGCCTGCATTTGCGCTGCATCATAGCTAATCGTTAATTAGTCTGCCTCTGAGATGGATATGAAAATAAAATAGAGCAATTAGACTTTCCCAGCAGTGAAAGGAAAAAAAAAAAAAAAAAAAAAAAAAAAGAAAAAAACCAGAAAGGTGGGAACCTCCAGCTGTGGGGTTTGTTATCTGTTGTGTATGATCTTAAATAACTTGTCGGGTACCAATGCCCTGAAACCAACTGAGGGGGTCATGGGCGCTCCCCGTGTTTCACTGTGCTCTCAGGCTTCAGGAAAAAGGAACCTCTCAGAAAGTTGGGTTTTGGTTTGTTTTTTTCCCTCACTTGCTTGTTTACTTGCTCTCTGATGCCCCTTTCTCTCTCTGTGCTCAAAACGGCTAATGCAGCGCCCAGGTGGGGATCTGGAGGAAGGTGTTAGAGCCGGGGGGCTGTGGTTCACGTAGGGAGGCTCAGACCTGTTACCCCAACCTTTTCTGGCACGGCTGTGGAGAGGAGAGTTTCCTGCACAGCAGCTAAAAGAGCGGCCAGCTTACAGGTGTGCTTCCCACAGTAGCCTGGGTCCCTCAGGGTCTGCTCTTACATCTGTCCCAGCGGCTGTGTTTGCTACAGCCAATGTCAGACGCACAGTTAATTACTGCGGTCCGGCATAAATACGGTTGTGTTAGCTGCTTAACGCACGTAGGCATAGACACATTTGGAAGTCATGGTTATCGATGTTCTTCAAGCTGTTTGACCAACGAATTTCAACCTGGACAACAGTTCCAGCTTATGTACATTATGTAAAAGTGTCTTTTAAAAATGTGTCATAGATACTTCAAGGGAGTAAAGCCTCTTCGAAGTGATTCATCCCACAAGTGACATAGAGAGAAATTCTGGGAACCACTACTGGATTTGACCCATAGTTTTAGTCAAAATCTGGATTTTTCTTACTCTCATTCCTGGTTTTTGTAAAGAACCCAACGCTCCTTGCTACAGTGTTTGGGGTGGGAGGTGAGTGTGTGTGAGTTGTGTTACAGAGAAGGCAGCGATGACCGAAAAGTCGAAATGAATGTGAACTTTGGATCACCAGCGAAACAAAACGGGAGTGCGGTCCTCCTCCTCCTTCAGGAACGTATCTTCTCGATAGTAAAACGAACCCTGGGAAAGCTGATGGAAGCGGTGGCGGTAGCTCCACCTCAGGCGATGCCCCTGGTAGCCGGGGGCTCTGTCACCCCCACTCTGGTTGCTGCTGGGGGTTCGGCCCCGCTGCCGGGCTCCGGCACTCACCCAAAGGCTCCCAAAGACTCACCCAGGGAATGCGGGACTCACACAGGGCGTCTGCGTGAGATTTAATCTGTGTTGTGGAAGAGGTCAGGGTGATCCCCACCGGCCTCAGGCTTCTGAGCTGACGCTGCTCCCCCAGAGCTGTTGCTGTCGTTCTCTGGGTATGAAGTACATCGTCGGGCGGTCCCTGAGCCAGGCAGAGCAGCGCCGTGCCGCCCCCCCAGGGCACCTGCCGTGCTGGCCGGGGCTCCGGCACCTGCCTCACCGGTGCCAGGCAGGGTTCCCTGGGCCTCGTGCCACAAAGGGAAGGCTTGCTTGTTCTTATTTTTGATGTTTTCTTGTCCCTTTCCCTTTTTTCATTTCCTCTCTTTCTTTTGATGTTTGTTGTGCGTTGGCAGTAGCACTTATTTCTCATTTCCATGCTGTGAAAAGCTGTTAGAAAGGATCTCGGTGACATGCATTGTATTTGTAAAAACGCTTTGCATATATTTGCTTGTTT